AATCGCTTATTAATAAAAGTGTCGGAAAATATGCACACGGTCAACTACATGTGTTGGTGATGACAATATGGGAATACTTCTCATTGATTCTTGTACACTTCTACCCAAATTCGTATATCAGCTGAGGTGGGCGAACATATATTCCTTCCACACTACTTGTTAATGTGTGGTTGTTGGTGCCTGAACGTTGTGGCTTTAGGTTATGCCTGGAGACCTACACACCCAACGTGAAATGAGAACAGCATTACGTGGGAGTCTTCGAGATAACTATCATCTCTTTCCTGAGGAAGTGGTCGTTGAGGTGAAGAAGACTTGAAAACTGCGGAATTTTAGGGAAAATAGCGCATTTTTTACGCATTGCTCATTTGAGTTGAAGCATTTTATTCATATTGGTGTTGATTGCTGATGCTAAGTCAATGAGCACTTCGTTTTTACTTGAATTGAGGAGTGGGGATACCGTATAACCTCTGAGATTCTCAAGCTGCTGATCATGTTCGTTCATTTATATCAACTATGTCGTGAGTGACGATGTTGCTGTTGTTGTAGTTGTATATGTTGCATATGTTGTTGTTGTATGTGCTGTTGTATATGTTGTTGTTGTTGCTGCTGCTCTTGTTGCAGTCTTCATTCTAGTTTGGATTCTCTTATTGCATTGTTAATCCACTACTTTTGAGATTATGGTGGTGGTCAGAAAGTAGAAAGAAATTTCATCAGCTTGAGGGACAAGTTTTGTGTCGTACAAACACTGTGTGTGAGATCTTGATCTTAGTGTAAAGCCGTATTACTATCCTCACTCTTCCCTTGAGATTGAGGATGGTAAAACAGCGAGTCTCTCCATAGATATAACCGGTTGAGAGTCACCATGTTGAATTGTCTTATGTTTTGTTAGGAACTTAATGCTACTATACACATGTTGCGATATAACATAGTCCAGAGTGAAATAGTAATATCACTCTTTTTACGGTGCTATCTAGTCTGACTTGTTGTTGAGGTGCCGTCAGACTCCCCAGGAGAGGCACGAATGAGAGTAACTTTAACACAAGATCATATCGTGCATGGGAAGCCGATCGAATTGAAGGCACCGTGGGAAGGCATGGAGCCGACCAAGGTCAGCGCTGATGAATTTGACAGTGCTGTGGGCAAGGCTTGTTCGAAGTGATGATGACGAACATGGAAGTTGACATATGTTTCTGAGTGAATAATAATTTCATGTGTTTTGAGTTGAATAGTGTGGGAGAGATTGCATATGGTCAATTACGGTTGTTGATGACAATGGAGTTTCACAACCCGTTTTACGTGAAGTGACGTAATACTCTGTGAAACACGCGGTATTCGTGGTGATATGCAGTGGTGATAGAATATGTTTTCACTAGTGTGTTTCCTATCACGGGTAAAATTCCAATAATGAATTATTGAAGATATTTATTACTGCTTCTATGTTAGTGTTGAAATCGCCGACTCGGGGTAAGGGAAGCAAACATCACGTAAAAAGACTTCCAGTGTTCGTATATGTATGCATGCTGATTGGTATGAGGGAGCTCATCATTGCTTGCAAATTACTATTATTACGAAATAGCGTCTCTCTACTTGAAAGTATGAGTACCAAACCTCCGTTCACTTTGTATGGTTCTAACGCCAGCCCATACAGCTGTAAAATACGGGCATTTTTGAGGTAATCTTACCACCACTACTGCAACTAATGAGTGTAGTAGATATAGACGTATACACTTTAAGTGGGCGGCACTGAACCCGATGGAGATAAGCACACATGTGAATCCAAGCATCAGGAAGCTCAGGGTTGGGTATACTACACATGAAATGTGTCATTTTACTTTCACAGACGAAATTGATTCCGATACTCGAGTGGCCCGACGGTAGAGTTCTCGACGACTCAACAGTTATCATAGACGTTCTCGAGGAAGAGTGAGCGACTGAACGTGAGCCGTCTGTCAAGCCGACCATATCAGGTTTCCTATTGGTCGCAATGTGTTGCCTCCATCGGGCCCTGAGCGTTTCTTGGTAAAACTATTGGAAGATTTCTTCGATGAGTGGTTTATGAAAGCGACGTTTAATACAAGATGGTGGGTGAGTGCGTTTGATGGAGCAAGTGTGTGTGTGGATGGGTGGAATGAATTCACCATCTTTGACGAGCTCGTGTTGTCAATATATCATACGGGACGCTGATATGATCTGAACTGTTGAGTTTCGTGCTGTGTTCAAAATAAACCTTTTCTTTATTTTCTCCCTCTGTTAGGTCCTCTGAGGCCGATAGAGATTGGGCCAGTCGATGGATTATAGCCGATCAAGTGATGTCCTCTCCTAAGCTATTCAATTTGCCCGACCCCTCGCAAAGAGAGGCTCTCACCAAGTTCTTTAGAGACAGACAGGTGATTGCCCGCAAGTCTGTTGGCGGCTAAGAGCACCCGGATCGTTGTGCTCTGTCTAGGTTGGTAGACTGCGACTAGTCGGATGTGAAGATGACAAGCTGTGGCAGTATGTGATGCATCAAGTTGTTGGAGCCTTGGACGCACATCTGAGAGACGGTAAGTTAGACCGTATGGCTATTCATATGAGTAATGGATATGCCTGTAAGTGTCATCATTAAATGCACCTCGGGCGGGGCTCGAACCCGCGGCCACGGGCTTAAAAGGCACGCGCTCTGCCGACTGAGCTACCGAGGCTGATGATTGTTATTTCTGAAACACGACTCCCTCCTTAGATAACGCCTTCCGCTTCCTCCTCGGACCACGCCCAACTGCTGCTGACTTTGCGCTGTATGGCCTTCTCAAGCAACTTTCACTCGACCACACGACTGGATACATCATCCGAGATCGATTCACCGCTGGTAACCGCGCTCTCGGTGTACTTCCGAACTCCTTCAACAGTATACGGCTGGATTATGGCGATGGACGAT